TTATCTTATGATTTATGTAGCATCTTGGTTTGGCTTTTTTTGTTAACTCAGAATAATGCTTTGATATTCATCCAGTAGTTTGTTCTTTTTTTATTGATAATATTTCGTGGAAGAGATATACCATAATATGTTTATTCATTCATCCATGATGGTAAGTGAAGTTGTGGCCAGTTTTTGGTGATTATGAATAAAATTGCTGTAAACATCAACAGACAGGTCTTTACGTGGACATATTTTCATTTCTCTCGGAACATGTTTAGGAACAGGATTGCTGAGTTGTGTGTGAAGTATATGTTTAAGTTTATATTCCAAAGTGACTGTTCCATTTTACATTACTATCAGCTATGTATGAGAGTTCTAGAATGCAGGCATCTTCACAGACATTTGTATATCGCCAGTCTTTTTGAATTTTAGCCATTCTAATGGGTGTGTATTGATAATACATCGTGGTTTTAATTTACATTACCCTAAGGTCTAATGATGTTGAGCATCTTTTTGCATATTATTTGCCATTTGCATATCTTTTTAGTGAATTGTCTATTCAAAACTTTTGCTCAGTTTTTTAACTGGATTGTCATATTGGGCTTTAAGAATTCTTTAAGTATTCTAGAAATAAGTTCTTCATAAAATATGTTTTCCATGTATTTTCTCCTACTCTGCCTACGTTGCATTTTCTTAATGTCTTTTAAAGAATACACTTTTAATTTTGCTCTTAATTTGTGCTCTTTGTAAAAAATTCCTAAGCCAAGATCACAAAGATTTTCTCTTATGTTTTCTTGTGAAAGTGTTACAGTTTTAGCTCTTACCTGTAGGTCAATGATCTATTCAGAATTAACTTTTGTACACAGTGTGAGTATGGGCTTAGGTTTATTCATTTGTTTATTTTGCATATGGATATTCAATTGCTCTAGCACCATTTATTGAAGAGAATATTCTTTTTCCATTGATTTATCTTGGTACATTTGTCAAAAATCAATGGATCATATAAATCTTGTTCTATTTTTTATCTTTCTAGTCTGTCCCATAGATCTATGTATCTAACCTTACACCAGTAACAGGCTTTCTTGACTA